TACGATAAAGATTTTGATGAGTCATGCTGCCCAAATATTCGAGAGTTTTTGACTCTTACTGTATCTTCTTCCTCTTGTACTCATCGAGTTATTTCGGGTGTTTCAGAGGAGTTCCTGGGAGAGCTATTCCCAAATACATCTGAGTTTTCGTTCGTTTCTAGATTGTTTGAAATCCTATCAGCATTTTTTTTTTGTATTATTCGATATAACTGTTATGTATGTCCAATTCTTCAAATGCTTTTTTCCCCAGTTACTTTTTGCTGTTATCGGATTTGCGACATCCATAATTTCTGATGTTTAAAAGGCTATCTCGCACTGATCAATGCATTAGTTTCTTTAATCGCTTTTATAGTATATTTCATTGGCTTTTCTTTATCTTATCGCATGGTTATGATTTTGCCTTCGCTCTGCTTATGAAATATTTTGTTATCGATTTGTTAATTGCAGAAATCATGACAACCGGTTCGAACGACTTCTACTACTCTAACAAATACGAGGATGATGAGTATGAATACCGACATGTTCATGTAACAAAGGTTTGTGTGACTGAAGTTTGTTGCATATTTGCCATGTGTTTGTTGTTAAGGAGGTGGCGAAACTCATCCCCAAAAACCGCTTGATGTCGGAAACCGAATGGCGAAGTCTTGGAATTCAGCAAGTAGTCTATTTTATTGACCTTTACCAGTGTTTTCACTTTGCCAATTTGGCATTTGTAGTCGCCAGGATGGGTTCATTACATGATCCATGGACCAGAACGACATGTGCTTCTATTTCGTCGTCCCTTACCGAATAAAAAGAATGCTGCGGCTAATGCTGGCGGCCAGCAGGCACAGACCCAGGTTGGTGCTCTTCTTTCTCCATCGTTCTTAATACTGTGAGGTTTTGAGTTTGAGGTTGGTGTGCGCTGAACATATGTGTCTCTGGATCGTGAAACTGGAATGCTTGCCTTTTTCTTGTACTTTTTTATCACCCATTCACTTGCTTTTCCTTGTGTATCTCCCTTTTTTGCATTTCATCGTCAATTGGTCTAATCCG